AATGTCATCATTGTACTTAACTTTTTTATTACTAAATTATTAATAATGTCATTTTGTGTAGTTCGTTGTGATTTGTATAATATATATTATTAAAACCCATCGTCAATGTTAATGTGCCAAGTTTTTTTAATAATTATGTCCTTGTTATAATAAAAACACATTTAAACACATTTTTAAAGTTTTCTGGATTTCTGCTTTAAATTATCGTACAATTGAACTGACTAATTGTGTGTTTCAGTAAAGGTATATCTCTTTTTTGTTATAATAGTCTTTGTATATTGTTCTAACTTTTTAGATAATCAGAGAAAACAGTAAGACATCTTAATATATCCTATTTCACCAACAAAAATGTAGAATAATTAATCTCACATCAAACGAAAAAAGTCATTTTAGGATGTCCTAATAGGTTTTAACTTAAAACTAAATAAAATGTATATTGCAACTGTGTTTAAATAAATGAATGTTTTTATACCTGACTATAGCACCAGACAAACATTATTTTAGATCATAATAATCTGCATAACTCAAAATAGTAAAAATCCACATTATTTAAGTTGTTCTAGTATTGTTTTAGCATAACGATGTTAACTCCAATAATAAATATTCACATTTTTTTGGGACGTTTTTTAAGGAAATTAAAAAAAAAAAACATGAATAATGTGATGTTCTTGTTTAGTTTTGTACTATATAATATAGTTCATTAGGTAGTGATTTAGAATCAAATTATGTTCTATTTATAGAATAAAAAATCACTCATAATATCTAAATATTTATACCTATTTATATTTTGGACAGGAAGACTATTTTATGTTTTTGGCTCTGAATACTTTTCTTAAGAATTTTAAAACCTTCCTTAGCTCTTATGGGATATTCCATGCATATCTTAGAAGTTCATTTTGTTTAAACCTAAAACAAATTAAGTACAAAAAATGAACATTTAAACAATACACAAAATTAGTCTTTTAGATTAGTTAAAAAAAAGTGTCAACAAAAAAATGGCTATGCCTTTTTCCTTAAACATTCTTTTTGAAAGAAACTTGAGTTTCTCTACTTACTTGCTGTTTTAGTATTTTAGTAGCAGATAAAGATAGTGTAGAAGTAGTGACAGGATTGATTATTATACTTCTTTCGTCGAAATTGCATTTTTCTTTAATATTTTCCTTCCCTGAGATCTGTAATAAAAATGCATTAGCATAAAAAGTTATTCAGGTGGTCACTTGTTGAATTCCTATATTTTGGAACCATGTATTTCTTTCTCATATCAAGAAAAGGAAACCTAAAAAAATAACAATAAACTTTACAAAGATGTGATATTAAAATAATAATAATAAGTAATTAACCTTTACTATAATCATTATGAGACGGATGAAGACGAAGGTAGCTGGAGTGTACTTGCTCTTAATTTTAATTTTTCGATAAGAAAATTAAAAAATTTAATTGCAAATTAAAGGTGATTGCCTAATGTACCGCCTCTGATAATTAGGTTGTGTCTGTACTTACTTATGATATTATCTTGAAGAAGCATTTTCAACAGGCATTTTACACATAAAGCATGTTTTCACCATATTATTAGAGATAATAAATCTTAAATATACATTTACAACCTTTACAACGTTATAAATAATAATATTTTCCGTAAAATACAAATAAGAAATTGACATGTGTCAGAAAGTGTCAGAACTGGCGCTCACAGAACACTTCTGGCGCTGTCAAACTTGGCAACGCTGATTAAATAAGCCAATTACAGAAGAGGTATTTTCCCCCTCGGGGGGAGTAGATGTTGCTAACAAAATTTAGCGCGGGGAAGGGGGGAAGACTCCCTCTAGTAGTAATTGCTCGGAGGTTGGAACAGACCTGTACCTAGTCATTAATTCAAAAAAAAATGACTGATATTTTTTATCTCATCCTGTGCTTTTATCCTGCACATATACATATTTTCAATAGCTAAATTGTTTAATCATTGTGAAGTTAAATAATCAATAAATTTGGTAATTACCTCATCAATATATTTTTTAGACTAAGAGCAACACATATTTTAACGTGCATTTTAACTTCTATTGTGTCGTCATACTGTGACTAAACCTGATTCCATACAATATCCTGACTAAAGTGAAAAGCACATCCCTAAATTTCAATTTCTGGAAATACTGTTCTATTTCAATTTATCACAAATAATATTTCAAAATATAGCTTAAATACCTTTGGTTTAAAACGTAGCTTGGTTTTAATCAAAGATTTTTACCAATAAATATGTTTTTTGATCTGAATAAAAAAAAAATGGATCAAGGCAGAACGCGTACGATAATAATTATAGAAGTTGTGGAACAAATATAAAATGCTGTCGAACATCGTTTGAGAGTTGGTACTAGACGTGTAGAATACATGGTAGTTCCTAAAAGTACTATTCATTAAGTTTTAAGATATTATTTAAAGTACTCTTAATGTAGTGTAACGCGTGTAGTGTAGTGTAATGCGTGTAGTGGTTTACAATTCCAAAATGAAACCTTCCATAGGCAAATTATTTTTACTAGACAAGAAAAAATTAACAAGAGAAAAATCTTTTATACATTTCAAGAAGTTGTACTCCAATTGTATATTTTTTAATTTTTAAATAAAAGTGTTTGTGAAAATCTACCATGTTTAGTTTTTCTCATTTAAATAATATGAATTTTCATCAAGTAAAAGCCGAAACAATCAAGAATTTTTAGATTTTCCAATCTTGTTATTACTTCATATTTCAGGGTTATCAAATATTCTAAAAGCGAACCCGAATAAATGTTCAACTGCACGCCAATGCCCGTTACAATTCGAGCTTTTCCATCTGGAGAGTGATTAACCCTTGAACAAGATTTAGGTTCGTCATCGCGAACCGTGCGCACTTTTTGTTGTTAGAGTCAACACTGTTTTTAGTTTTTGCTCGCACAACGGTAATTCTTTCATTCCCGTTTCGCCAACGTTCAGGATTTCTGAAGTTTTTCCGAAACGGAAAAAATTGCTCGCAAAAAACCACCTTTATTTTTATCGCCAGAGACAAGCGGCACATGTTATGGTGCAGCAAGAGTTTGTTTTATAGCCGAGTCAAATAACGTGTTAATTTTGTAATATTAGACAGTTGGCAAACTCAAGAGGGATATAGAAATAGATTATTAGTACCGTAATGTGTGTGGAAGCAGAAAAAAATATTGGGGTTGCATAGAAAAAAGTAAGAAAACATGAAAGATGTAGTGAAGCAACAACAAGAAAGGTACAAGAATAAGTGGATGAGAACAAATAAAGAAATGAGAAAACAAACCGAAAAACTTATAATAAAAAGTAAAATAGGGTGGATAGACAATAAGATTAAAATAATTGAACAAAAAGGAAGTAAAATAAATAAAAAAGTCTTTTACAAGAAAATTACAGAATAAAAGAAAATCTACTGAGATAAAACTAAGGGAATAAAAAAGGAGAAGTGATACTGGGAGATGAAGAATACAAGTAAGTGTGGATAGATTATTTTAAAGATCTCTTAATCGATCCAGAAATGGAAGAATCTGAGATGATAGAGGGAGAGGAAATAGAAGAAAGGGACAATAATTGCTGATTCAACAAGAGAAGAGGTAGAAAAGGTCACTGGGAAAACTCAAATAGAAAATCACCAGGAAAAGACGGAATTAACATCGAACCTATTAAATATGGAGGCAATGAATTAAAAGAAAGACTACTATCTCTAATTCAGAAAATATGGATAGAAGAAAAATGGCGAGAGAGTGAGAAATAGGAAAGGTAATCCATAAAAAGGCGACCAACAAATATGTCATAATTATAGAGGAATAACACTTCTTAATACAGCTTACAAAAAACTTAGCAATAATACAAAGGCGACTAGCGCAAACAACAAAAAGGTGATAGGACGGTACAAATGTGGCGTATGAATACAAAATAGAATTGGAAATGCTTTTTATTGACTTTAAACAAGCCTTTGACTCAATAAAAAGAACAGAACTACAGCTAGCCCTACAAAAATTAGGAATAAATTAAGTTAAAGCGGTTAATAATAATGACGATACGAGAAACAAAAATTGACATTAAAACACAAAAAGGAGGGATTGAAGAATACATAATTAATAAAGGAGTAAAGCAAGTAGATACCTTAATAAAGGGACAGTAAGAACAGGGGAAGGACGTCATTGCATGTGCAGATGACATAGTGATAAAAACAAAAAGCGCAAGAATATCTAAGAAGTATGGCAAAAAAAATTATAAGACCAATATTAGGATCTATTAAAATCACAGAAGAACAATACAGAATTAGAACAAATAAAGAAATTAAACAAAAGCTAGAAGAAGATATACTAACAAAAATAAAACATTTCAAAATTAGATGGTTCCCTCTTGTGAGCAAGGAGAAGTAGGTAATCTCCAATACATCCTACTAGAATGGTCAATAGAACTAGAAGAGACAAATTTTATTTTAAAATGCTTAATTGCTTAGAACTCTTACATGCTGCTTTAAACCTTCATAACCTGCTTAAAAACCCTAGTGCTCGTAATGCTTCAATAATATATAAATTCCTTAAAGACTTTAACTGCAAATTATAAACTTTTAGAAAACTCTGTAGTGAGTGATGACGAATGGTCAGACTTGCGCAAGCGTAGCTCAACTACTTCATAAACAAGAAGAGAAAATAGTTCTGGGTCAATAATCCAAAGGGATTGAGCACAAACATACCGAAAAAAGAAGAAAAAGAGTTTGATGGTTGGGACACTTTTGGAGAACAGGAAATGGAACATTGGTATATTCAATGTTACAATGGAATCCCGAAAGGAGAAGAGGACGTGGAAAACCCAAATTAGGATGGACGAAGCAAGTGAAAGAAGATCTACGCAGGACAGGAGTGAATAATTGTCAAGAAAAGTAAAGGATAAGGAAAAGTTTATCAAATCGTGGTGCTATTTTTAAAACGTTAATAAACAAATCATTTTCCTAATTGTAGTCTATTTCTCTTTTTAGTTCTAATCTATACCATTGAAGAAAATGTCAGTTCACACAAGTATGAAGTGGCGAATGGCACTAATAATTTAAGAGCTTCGTGTTTTCTTTTCATCCAAAATACGTTGACACTTTGCGAATAAAATTCCATTTTAGACATGCCATCAGCAGCTGAATCTAGAAGACATTCTATCATTTTTGTGGTGACATCAGCCAGTTCTATAGATTTGTCAAAAGGGTTTAAAATCCATCTACGCCCATTTTCAGCTTCAGAGTGCAAGTCTGGAAAGTATGTCTAAAGTTTCTTTTGTAAATTATGCAAGCTCTGTATCATGCAAGGAATGTGAACCAATACTGCAAAACTTTGGTCTGTTGCATTATCTTTTAAGCACGTGGAAAATACTCAAACGTTTTGTTTTGCAGAGAGGTTGACCACAAACGAAGTTTTGCGTGAAATGCTTTTACTTTATCTTTAGCTGTTAAAATTTTTTCTTCTCTACCTTGAAGGTTCTTGTTCAAATTTTTAAGGTGGCTAAAAAGATCTGCCAAAAATGCTAATTTTAAGTGCCAAATAGGACCAGAAAAACGATAAGCATATTCAGATTTTTCATCTTGTAAGAACGTTAACAATTCAGCTCTCAGTTCCAGAACTCTTGTCAATACCTTTCCTTTGGATAGTCATCTGACATGTGTGTGATAAAGGAGATTTTGATAAAGCGAGTCCATATATTCACAAACGATTCTGAATAGCCGGGTTTGCAAAGCTTTACCTTACAATTTTTATTACCTCCTTGAGCAAGTCATTTAAATCAGAAGATACTACCTTAGCAGCTAGAGCCTGTCGCTGAAGATAACAGTGTGCCCAGGATATCTTTGGCATTATCGATTTTAATTTTGCAGTGAGTCCGCTATTTTTGCCAGTCATAGCTTTAGCGCCATCGCTACAAATAACAATACATTTTTTCCAATAAATATCTTAATCGCAAGTGCTTTCTAAAAACATACCGTACAAACACTGGCCAGTAATGTTTGCAGGAAGTGCTTTGCAAAATAAAATTTCTTCCGTGATACTGTCATCTGCTTCAAAGCGCACAAATACTACAAACAGTCGGAAACATCTGCAGATTCGTCAAACTGCAATGCAAAATGTTGGCTGTCCTTTAATTTTTCGACTACTTGTTCTTGAATATCCTTGGCCATATCGTTTATTCTGCGTAAAATAGTATTGTCAGAAAGTGGTATGTTTTTTAATTTGTTTGCCACCTGCTAACTGATCATAATTTCAACCATATCAAATTATTTCTTTGGCTTTCTATGACACAAGGGAGTCGCCAGAATATTTCAACTGTTAAAGGGGTCGCGAAATCAAAAAGATTGAAAAACACTGGTCTAGAACATCGAGCCAGTTACAGACGTTGCGAATTAGCAAAAACACTCCAGGCCAGAAGAGAAAAAATAATACAAAGAAAATGTATGGAAGGTAATCAAGAAAAGCAACCAAAAAAATACCCTCACCTTTTCAATAGAATATTGTAGACCCAAATTGCTGGCAGCGTCTCCAAAGAAAAGGTCAAAGAAAAATCTGTAAATGAGCTATTATTGCTGACATTAAGAGCTAAAATGAATTTTGTTTTGATAAAAAAACACATCCACATATTTTCTACAGACACATTATAATTCTTTTATAATTGTACTGTACTTCTGTACATTTTGTAATCCTTTTTAAATTTAGGATTATCTATTAGTGAAAATGGTCCTAGCTCTTGTGTTAGAAAACAAAACACGGGGTGATTTAAACATAGCTTTAAAAGCTTTGCGACACCCCTTACATAAACATAAAATTTGACTGTACCAAAAGGGCGCACGTTATCCAGGATGAAAACCCGGTTTTCCCGCCGAAAAAGAAAACAAAGCTAACAGAAGTAAAAAAATATTTTCGAGGATAGAATTGCAAGCAAAAGTGGGGGATTGACGAAATCCGGGGTTTTATAGGGATTTGGCGTTTTTTGTTTTATTGTTTGAAGCATTGAAAAAACATTTTCGTGAGATAGCAGAGTGATCCGGGATCGGTGCGGGAATTCTGGCGGATATTTCTTGGAGAGTTTTATTGGATCGGTCAACCGCCGAAGCTCAATTGTCTGTCTCTGTGGATGCGGAGGGGTCCTGGATTGATAATAAATTTTTATTACTCGAACTGTTTATTTCTATTATTTGTAGGGTTGTATCAAATTTGACGTGAACGTGATGTCGCATCTTTTTACGGGATCACTGTGCGGCATGTTTATACCAGAATTCATAAAATTTATTTCAGTAGTTGCTTTTTTCTAAAAATAACTTGACCCTTTCAGGACGGATTTTTACTTCTGTTTTACATATTGTAATCATTAATATTATTTCATTTTCTAACATTAGGAAGCTTTTTTTTAGAATTTTCCAAAATGTATTTAATATTTTTTAAATTGGAACATATTGTCCCATTAGTCCGTTCTACTGGGACATTACAGCCCATCAGTCTTGAAAGTAGTAAAATAATAAACAAAAAATATATAAAAAAACTGTATTTTAGTAACTAATATTACAATAAACAAAGATTTGTGATTGCATATGATAAGGTGTAAAACATTTGTTACATAGTGGGACACCACATGCTCTACAGACTGATCTAATGCTCTTTTTAATATTGTTTTGTGAGCATCTAGTATACTTTCTCCGCTGTTGTTCAACAATATGCATGTGATCTTCAATATTTAACATTCTTTGCCACTTCGAAGGTCGTCCAGATGTTGAACGTCTCTTTATACTCGACTAACTTTTCCCATGTTCAATAAGACCTTCTGCCAAAGATAGCAAAAAATCCAAAAATGGTACCTTTTTGCGTTTTACTTCATTATGGATAATGTAGGAATTTACAGCAGTCATCAACATCATTTTGTAAAAAACCTTTTTCCGCCTTTTGGTAGACTTCCGATCAAAGTCGTAGAGACTAGTTAAATGGTCTGTCAAATCAACACCTCTCATATACTTGTTGTAAAAGGAAATGATCTCGGGGCATTCAAGAGAGGCTTTCACGCCATTTTTCTGTGTTCCTTTAACCATGGTTATCTGATCCCTGTGACAGTTGCTAATTGTCATAACTTCCTTTGCATCTTGCCATCTAGTAAAACTTTTCCCATCATTTGTACACAAGAATTTGGCTTGACACATCATCGTGCTTGATGCAGTTGAGGGCTCAGGCTGAGGACTTGTAGATGCAGTTTGAGAAAACAAATTATTCTGATGATTCGCATCACCATTATCGCTACCTGTATCTTCAGCTTCGACAAGTTCGTTATTTTCTAATTGGACATCACCATCGCACTCAAACTCGGTTTCTGAACACGAGCTATACCAATCTTGGCCTTCATCTCCACTATTTTGGTAAGGATCAGTATCACTTTCGGAGAAATCAAGATTTTGAGCAATTCTTTTAAGCTCAGGTTAAATTATTGTTTTTTTTCTATTGATCCTGAAAGAAAAAACACATTCGTGGGACAAATGATCCCACCAATAAAGCCTGTTGGGACATAACGTCCCAAAATTAAAAATCAGAAAATTTCGCATCAAGGAATACGTAAAATATGTTCAAACTATTATATACACTAAAAGAAAGGTACTTACTTGGTTACACAGAATAAGCAGTATATAATTGCCCTAAAAAAGGCTTAAAAACATCCAAAAATAATCGACATGCGGAAGGAGCTCGAAAAATGTGAGGTTATCTCACTTTGTTTACAAACAACAAACTGCTAGATGACCGCAGACACTGAAAAGACTAAACAGGCATTTATATATACATAATTGCGAATATATTTCCCAGCAGTCATAATAAAATTTGATTTGGGATATATAGTCCCGTTAGTCTTGAAAGGGTTAAATGGAGAATAATTTTTTTCTGTCCCAATAACATTGTCGTTTTGAGTAAATAAGTTATTAAGGGTTAACTGTCGGTTACCTCAAATAAGGGCCATAAAAAAACTTATAATCGATTCAAATGGTTTCAATGTTATAGAACTGTAATTGATTACATATCAGTAATTGATTATAATATTCTTATAATTTATAATAACAGTACATGTTTAGAGATATATGATCTTTTCTAGAGATTAAAGAAAAAACAACTATTTTTATCTAAATTTGTTGATCTGTAGCAGCAAAGAAAAAGTTTGTTATATAAACTTATTTCGGTTCCATAAATTTATTATAGCTCCATGTTCACGCAATTTACGGACACCCTGTATAATAACTAGTGATACTTATAATGACACAAACAAAAATAAATTGGTATTAATGAAGTTATGATGAGCTTTATTAAATAAATTGGTAAAAGACTACTTGTCCAGACCTTTCTTACAATCTTCAAAAAAATAGAGTTGTATTTTTAAAAAACATACTATAATTTGCAATATTTCTTATGAATTTAATTAAATAATAATTCTATAATACATTAATGTCTTGACTTTAACTTATCACATATTATATAAACAATAAAAGCCCCAAAAATCGTTTACATTGTTGCACCATTTTTTTAATACGACAGTCAAAAGAAAATGGTATATAATTTTTACAAATACAATAATAGAGATATTTTGTAAATACATAATATATTTAAAAGTTTTGTATTATCCCATGAAATATACAGGATAAACTCCTTGTAAACCTTTGAATGGCACCCTCTTAATTGAAGGGTATTCATATAGCTTGATTACTGACTTTTCTAATGTTATAATAGTAAAAAATTTAGCAACATTACGATGAAAGAATAACATTTAATATGTAATTGATTAGTAGAGAATAGACGATTTTTGTAAGAAACCGAACTATTAATGTTTATTAAAGAACTATCATTGAAAACAGAACTATAGTGTAATTTATTGCGGAACTATAATTAATTGCAGAGCTATATTTGATTACAGATATATAATTGATTACATAACTATAAACGTTTACAGAATTTTAATTGATTACAGAATTAAAATGGATTATAGAACTAATATTGATTACGTAAATATAAATAATTATAGAACTAATTAATTAACTATAACTGATTACAGAACCATAATTGATTACAAAACTATGATCGATTTCAGAAATATAACCAGTTACAAAACCACTATTGATTACAGAACTAAAATGTATTACATAACTATAATTGTTTACAGAACTATAATTTATTAAGTAACTATAATTGATTACATAACTATAATTGATTACGTAACTATAATTGATTACATAACTATATTTGA